TTACCGATAGATGGGTAACTTGTTATGATATCTACAAACTAATTTTAATTATAAGTAGATAGAATAGAGGACGTGAGTCGCAAAACGTAAGTATTTAATCAACATTATATGAATAAAAAAATATTTACTTTACACAGGGAATTTCGTTGACAGTTGCTTGTCACAATCATCCTGGGGGTGAATAGAAACTATTATGGGTACCTATGTCTAAATCAAAGATCTTTGGTATACACATATATATACAAAAGATGTTTTTTTAATTATACAGCACTATCTTACCTACTTGTACAACAAATAGTCCACTAACTTAAGGTTGTCTTGAAAAGATTGCTCTCAGCAATAAGACCGCCTTACTGTACTTATACAATTGTATCGTTGTGTTTGTAAATTTCCTTGCTTATTTCCTATATTGTATAATGCAAATAAAGTATACTCATTCATTCATTCATTCATATATAAAATACACATATAATGTAAAATAATGAACTCACTTAAGTCTTCCAAATGTCACTTTATCTGGAAATTCTCCGTCACATATGGTAGAACTTCAGTGAGTTAACAATAATCGGAAAAAGCAAAACACACTAAGTTAATTAATTTTCCGTTATATATGTATATAGACGTTGGATAAAATATGAACATAGGTTTTAAAAATAATATGGGTGCCTACATTGTATTATTTTCCATGAGAAAAAAATTAATAAACGATCGAAATAAATCGTATTAATCCTTAGTTTCATTTAAAGAACAAGTCGATTCGACTTGTTCTTTCTTCACCTTTATTTATTGTTTATTCTCTTATTATAATATAACATACGCACCCTAATTATTGCAGACTTAAACAAAATAATTAGGCCTTGTTCCACTTGTCCGTACCAACATTCCCCCACGGGAAGGTAAGTGGAATTTTATTCCACCTATCCACTGGTAGATATGAATGGAAATTTATTTTCATTTATCCCTATCGAGCGGTTTTTATTTAAAAGTATACTTCTGTGCATAGGTAGGTAATAAAATGATTTCTTCAAGATACATTGTTAGTACAAATAATTGTAAGCAGATTTAGCGCTGTGTAGACCCGGCATAGAATAGGCCATCCCGTCCTTTCCCGTGGGTGTCGTTAGAAATGACTAAGGGAACTTGATGGTCGAAGTATGGACAGCATTGTCCCTCTTAAAACATCTCCAAGACCTAACTGCGCCTGCCAAGCGTGACAACTACTAGCAAAACCCCCCAGTAGAGGAGGAAAAGGGATTGTTAGTAATGGAGACTGAGAATCCCATTGCTAGCAATATACCCAACCAAGTCGACCTCCTCCTGGTTCCCCCTGGAAACTATCATGGTTAATTCCAGATGAATTCATCATGATGGGCTAACTCGCTTGTTTTCATTGTCATCTATCACCCTTCACTAGTGCTCCGCCAGCGTATCCCGTTAGCGCAGGCGGGGTTACCATACCATTTTTACCCATAAAAAAAACCCAATAGAGGGAGGCCTATGTTATGCAGTGGACAATTAACAGCTATATGAATGAAACGATTTAGATTAAGGATACAGAAAGAAGACCTGATGAAGAAATCCCATTTGCAGCTAGGGACTTAGTGGTCTGGTGTGTTGACGTTACATTTCTTACTGGCCTGCTAAGTCCCAAGCTGCTCTGGGAACGAGCGTCGATACAAGAACACCAATACTGAAGAACTCCATGGTATGCTTCAATACGACTTATTGAAAATGAAAACAAACGTATAATTGACTCGATCATAAAACAATCTGCTGATGTTCAATAGCCATAAAAGTTTTTATTTTTTATTTTAAATGCTTTTACCTTCTTCAGATTTATCAGCCTTATCGAACCCTGATATCTCATATAAAGTTTTGTCTACTGCCCCTAGTCGCGAAAAGAGAGGAATTAATGGGTGTCAATAACTTAGAGAGATGTTGAAAAATTTCTGATTAGCAATAAAAGTTAAGAATCAATTCAGAAAAAGTAAAAAATCCGTTAAGAATCATCAATAACGATGCTTACATTGTTTCCTATTGTTGTATGTTTTAGATCAATAAAGAATTACTTAATATTTTAATATAGGTATTAGAAATTTAAAGTGTATAAAGTGTGTTTAGAGGGTTCCTGTGATAATTACAACAAAACTTGATTCGTTACACGTCATTTTACTTGACTCGTCAATTGAATACTGCGTGACTCCTTGTTATTATGTATGAATAAAAATACAAAGTAATTTACATTAATACAGCTCTGTGTGTGTGTGCGTGTACGTGTGCGTGTGCGTGTGCGTGTGCGCATGTGTGGGTGTGTGTGTGTGTGTGTGTGTGCGTAGCCATACTTAAGAGTAGGCCGAATGGGCCATGTCCACTCCAGAATTGTCCGGTGCCTCCCCCCCCCCTTCCTCCCTCAGACATTTGTAAGATTACAAATATGCCTTTTTCAGGGGAAACTTATTCTATGAATAAAATTTAGTTGTCTAACAGAGTACTTTCAACCGATTTCAAAAAAAGAGGAGGCAATCAATTCGGTCGTGGGTATTTTTTTATGTTTAATACTTCAAAAGTCCAACATTTATAAACCGATTTGGATTGTTTTTCATCTGAAAGGTTATACTTTCAAATAGATATGTACCATAGATGTTTTATTAAAATCGATTCAGTAGATTAGTTTTTAAATAAAAATAATAATAATATAGATAAATTTACCTTTGCTTACATTATATATTTCTAATTAATAAATGAAAAACAATTTTACTATATGTTTTAATGCAGTAATATTATAATAACTTATTTTACCACGATTGAAGCCTATTTTTTATGGTACAAAGCTTGTTGTATAATCAAAACAAAAAAATATTGAAAATTAGCCAATTATTTTCGAAAATTGAGAGATAATTGCATAACATTTTATCACACATCTGTATGAACGGTCTTAATAAACAAAGCCCTTTGAACGGTCGTCAATTAATGCGGACAAACATATAGGAACCTAAGTTTACAAAGCTTGTAATTGTTCCATACAAGATCACTCTTAATTAAACGAACAGCTGATTGACGCAGCGCTTTGATGTGAGCCGCGACGTGCGCGCGCGCACCTCCCTCATTGTTTTGTAGATCACGATGCGCAAATGAATTAATGCCTCTTTGATAATAGTATTTGTGCGTTAATAAATTAACTTCGCATACCACAATACAATAGCAATAGGCGCAGTAAGAGAAATAAGTACATTATAAAAGTTGGTATTTTATAAAGACTAATTATTGTACAATATTTCAATAAGTACTTAATGAAAATGTAAACGAAAGGAACAGACAATTTGCTAACGTCCAAGTTATAGTACAATTACATAATAAAAGAATGTGTTTCACAAAAAAAAAAAGCGACTTCATTTGTGGCAATACCAGTTATTTCAACGAGATCAATCTTCAATATATCCTTTCATATGAAAAAATATTTTTTAAATCAGTTTACAATTGCTGGTGTTATGAGGTAACAAACATAAAAAAGAAACAACAGAATTGAGAAACTCCTCTTTTTTAAGTCGGTTAAAAAAACTAGTTTAAAAAAGGCGCATACTCGTATGTATTTTTAGATGTTGTTGTTCCACTCCTGATCCCGGGGTGGGCACTATACAAATAAGGGGTGAGGATGGCCCAATGGGGACACCCAGTCCCCATTAACCCTTCTTTGCACGATTTTTTATTGGTGAAATAAATCAAGGTGTTATAATTCAGGTTTAAAATTCAAGGAAAAATGGTCAAAAAAATAAATTTTACAGCTGTTTCTTTTCTGCAATGGACATTAAAAAGGTATCCAGACACAACTTAAAATGAACTTGTTCTTTTATATAATTTTTGGGCATTCAATGTTATGATGGAAATTTCCACCATTATGCAAAGAAGGGTTAAATACACCTATACTCGTATTATGTAAATGTGTAAGAGTTAATAATACATAGGTACAAACAGAGGCGCGTCGCCGCAAAGCTGGGGTTTCTAGGCGGTATGTGCTTCCCACCATGCAATGCCCTTGGAAATCCCAAACGTGCTGGCGACCACTAACATCGACGGTTACCATGGCAACATTGTTTATAGTTATAATTATTACCATTTTTTGCTATTTTTGTAAGTTTATTATTATAAGTTTTATTATTTGTATTTGTTTTTATAAATAATTATAGATATTATATGTTATAATATAAATTAATTTATTAATATTTGTAGTAAGTCAATACTTTATGTGGTCGCTAAGATGACCGGCAAATAACATTTCACATTAGGTGGGTAAACTGTTAATCGTAATTGTAACTAAATATGATGCTACCCACATTTCACAATGTTGCACCAAAAGTAAATTGAACATTGCAAATGAGTGTATTTATGTTTTAGATTGTACCATCTTATGTTAAGTCAAAGGAAGTTTTTAACTAACCACTGAGATACAGGCTCAGCCTAGTTCGGTGGCTAGTAGATGTAACTAGGTGTGAATTGTTATTAAATAAAGAATTATTATCAATTATTTATTTAGCATTCAGAGGCTAATATCTATGAATACATATGTAATATGTTTTTCTCTTCTTTAGTTGATTATGAAAGTGAGTTTGTTACCTTTTAGTGACCAACCAATTGTCATAAAATTTTTTATACACTTAGTTACTTATTTTTAATCGCGATCACACAAAGCGGCAGGGTAACCTAGTAAATGGAGGGGGGAAAGGGATTGTTAGTAATGGAGACTGAGAATCCCATTGCTAGCAATATACCCAACCAGGTCGACCTCCTCGCAGTTCCCCCTGTAAACTATCATGGTTAATTCCTGATGAATTCATCATGATGGGCTAACTGGCCTGTTTTCATTTTCATCTATCACCCTTCACTGGTGCTCCGCAAGCGTATCCCGTTAGCGCAGGCGGGGTTACCATACCATTTTCACCCATAAAAAAAAACCTAGTAAATGGGTGATGATGATAACGACGTAATGTAAATAAAACACAATGTACAGTGAAGTTATCATTTATTGTTTACGCCCAACTGTCGCTCTCCTTGAACACGGCGACGCAGTGCGAGCTACGTGGCTCCGCATCGCCGTTCGCATGCTCTCTCCCGCTTGACCACGCGCTCTTCTCTTCTGGTTCTTCTGTTTTTTCTGATTCCTCTAATTCTGACTCCTCTGATTCTTCTGATTCTGATTCTGATTCTTCTCTTTCTTTTGTAGCCTGTTGAATTGTAATTTGAAATAAATACATAAAAATAAAGGATAACGATAAGTATCCAAGTATTATTTTATTACCCACTGGACATATTTTTTTAATTGATGATAATGGAATGGTAACGTTTACCGTTAGCGCAGGTGGGATCATAAACACTGGTGGAGCACCAGGGATGATAGGTGAGAATGACAAGGTCTTTTTTTTATAGTTTGAAGTGCATTTCTTCAGGTATTCCGCTCTCGCTATTTGATACGGGTAGCGGGATGCCTGTTCTATTGGGCACATAGAGTATATATATTTGGGAATAGAGTGCAAATTAGGAGACATAAAGTGAGATCGATTGGCCTAAGATTGCTACTGAGATAATAGAGTGATCGGCCCTTGATTGGGCAACCCCAATCATCTTCCAGTCGCCCATTTGACGGTCGAAGTCGGCCTTCAAGTACGCGACATGGGCATCTATAATGGGTTAAAGTTACGCAATATACAATTTGTTGAAGAAACTGAAAGGTATAACATTGGTACAGCGGCTGCAGAGTGCAATAAACGGAGAGAATGGTCGACTACCGGACACGCAATCATCCCAAGTGACATGGCTTTTGCCCTACCAATAAGTTATTTTGCCCTACCTTAAACATGAGTCTAGCTACGGCCCTGTTCCATATGCATGCATAAAAATGTTTCACACTAAATCGAGTTATAGGTACTATACAACGAATAGACATATTTAAATTTTAAATACATACATATAATACGGACCAATACAAACAGACTTAGGTACTTGTACACACTTAAAGTCTTACTACAAAAAAATATTTTAAAACACTGTTTATCTAAACAGAAGTTCAACAGAACTAAGTAATTAAATATTGTTTATTTATTTATTGCGCCGTTTATAAAAATAATAAATGCAGTGAATTTTAATAATATTGTTTATTCGGTATAATGATATTTATTTATAATTTTACATGTAAAAAAATACAGATTATTATAATAAAATTTATTACTTTATTATTAATAACCTAGTTAGTTAGTTAGTTACTTACTTTGTTTAGACATAAACAGATTTTAGACCAAGTTTTGTAGTAAGAAGTCGAAACATATTGGGCACCTGTCTATGGTAAGTTTAACTTTATTGGGAAAAGACGGACAAATTATTGTGCAAGACTCGAACCAACGACCATCGGTGAAGACGAGGCGGAGTATCCGACTGGAACCATCACCGATTCATAAGAGCTGGCATTAAATATATTTATATTAAACAAACCTGTATCGATGGTTTCTCTATCTTCTCCTTGGAACTTGAACTTCTTAACCTCTTTTTTGGGGACGGTCCTTCTGTTTGGTCAACCTACGAATTATGGAGGGAAAGGAATTTTATTAATACTAGGCTCTAACACCTCCATTACCATATCATGGGCATCATGAGCGAAACAGTATACTCTGATATTCCATGGTACTGCTCATGTCTATAGGCGACGGTTACCACTTGTTTGCCATTCTAAATTGCGTCCATAAATAAAATATATATATATATATATATATATATACATATATATATATATATATATATATATATATATATATGCCCATGATACCCCCATGCGTTGCCATTCCTAAGGACTCAGATGTTATTCCTCTGTACCCAGTAAATTCACGCCATATCCCACCCTTCAAACCGAAATACAACCAAGCAAACACAGCTGCTTCACGGTTGAAACACGAATGGGACAGAGGTACTCAAGCAATCGACTTTTGTACAAAGTCTCCATCTGGTTCCTGATTAAATTGTCTAGTTTATATAGTTCCTGTGTGGTCCTGCCATGGAATGGGTCACACTTTCCTTTCCCGTGGGTTTCGTAAGAAACGACTAATTGAGCTTTAATTAAACTTTTAATAATTAATTAAACGACTAATTAAGCTTTTAATGGTCAAGGGATGGATAGCAGCATCCTTCTTAGAACATCACCAAAGCCAAACTGCGGTTGCCAATTCGGCAGCCAAGCGTGGCAACTACTGGCAAACCCCTATGTTCCTGAGTTCTATGATCGGAAGTCGACAGCTAACGTCTGATATAATGACGTTGAATGGAGTTCAATGGAATTTGGTACAGTTGGTAAGTTACATCCTAACTTAGCATATATGATAATTTATGTACTGACACGCGGCCGAAGCCACGAAATATAGCTAGCTAGACGTTGCCACACTTAGTTACGAACGCTCTTAAGAGAGTTTACATTTCTGACATATTTATTTATTTATTTATTTATCAGTACATATATGTGTACATGGCGGACTTAATGCTAAAAGCATTCTCTCCCAAACATACCTCGCATTTCACTGGTTCCTCCCTCTCGTCTTGATCTAATGCCTTTGTTGTATTAGTGTTCCTTAGCCGGCTCTTCTTGGATACTGGTTCGGTTTCCTCAGCCTAAATAAGAACATTGGATTTACTTCGAAAATCAACCATATGTGTATTACGCTAGGGACGAGTTTTGAATTACATGGTTAATAATTTAAGCAAATATAACGACTTTTTTTTAATGGATGATAACGGAATGGTATCTCCGCCTGCGCTATCGGTATATGCTGACAAGACACCAATGAGGGATAATAGGTGACGATAGCAGCAGGTCAGTTTTCCCATTGTAACAAATTCCACTAGAATTAACGACGATGGTTTCCAAGGGGAACTGAGTGGAGGTCGACCTGATAGGGTGTATTGCTAGCAATGGGATTGCCATTGCTCCGATCTCTACTAGGTGACCCCTGGAAACTATTATAGTTAAAAAGAATGTTCAAATCGGCTCTGAAGATAATAATAGATTTCCTTTTCACAAAAAAAAAACAATACCTAATTCAATCGTTATTATATAATAATCGTTAAGTTATTGTTATTTTAAAACTATAAAATACTGTACTGGTTTCGATAAATTTTTGTATAGGACCAATCTGAAAAAGTCTAACTTGACTTTTTATCTGAAAGTCTACATTTTAAGACAAAAAAAAAATTTGACGGAGTTCAGAGGAAACAAACATAAGAAAATACAATCAAATTAAGAATCTCCACCTTTTTGAAGTCGGTTAAAAATTAACTCACCTGCAACGTGGAATTATTCTTGTGTCGAAGAACGCTTACATTATTCTTTTTCTCCGACTCCTTATCGTGTAATTCTGTAACAAATTATTATTTTATATTTAATTGCGCACAAAGATTACATATTTTTTTTATTTTTACCAGAGGGAGACTTTGTACAAAAGTCGATTTCTTGGGCACCACTGTCCCATTCGTATTTCAACCGTGAAGCAGCTGTGTTTGCACGACTGTGTTTCCACTGTGTTGGTTACCACTTTCCATCAGGTGGGCCGCCAGTTTAGGGAGTTTTGCCAGTAGATGCCACGCTTGGCTGGCAGGATGGCGAACACAGTTAGGCTTTTAAAAATGTTTTAAGAGGGACGCTGCTGTCAATCCCTCGCCCTCCCTTAGTTATCTCTTACGACAACCACAGGAAAGAGAGGGGTGGCCGGGACGCGAACATTACATTATTATAAATTATTTTGAATCTTTTACGTTATGTGGTGTTAACCAATAATTATCAGAGCAATGTTCATAATCCTAATATTATAAATGTGAAAGTAAATTTTTTTAATAGATGATAATGGAATAGTACCCCTACCTATCTATCTATCTATCTATCCCCTACCTACGCTATCGGTATACATTGGCGGGGCACCAGTGATAGATGATAGGTGACGATGAAAGCAGGTCAGTTAGCACATCGTAATGAATTCCACTACGATTAACCACAATAATTTCCAAAGGGAACCGCTTGAAGGTCGACCTGACAGGGTGTATTGCTAGCAATGGATCAATTAGACTCCATTACCAACAATTTCTTTCCCCCAAAGCTCGCCTGTTGTACATATATATCATTAGTAATTGAATAAGTAATATAGGATCACCAATATTACATATAATGGACGTTTAGTTACTCATTTATTTAATCCACGTATTTTGACTCCATTTAGATTGATTCAAGCATAAATGAGAAAAACTTAATTAAAATTACCTTCATGTACTGCAGGTATCTGCTTGTTTCTGAAACAAAGATAAAAATACTATTGAAAATCTAAAAATAATTAACATTCCTTATTATTATTTTAAATACGCATTTTTATCCGCGTTTTTATCCGCGTAACGGGGATTTATTGATTAACTGGAGCGAAAAGTAACTTAATTTTTTTTTAATGTGTGATATTAGAATGGTAACTCCCACCAGAGATATATATATATATATATATATATATATATATATATATATATATATATATATATATATATATATATACATACACTATACAGGCACATGTAATAGATTATAAGTATGGATGAAAACAGAGGGCCTACTATGAAATGTTTTACAAAATTTCGGAGCCGAGTGAAACACAAATTTGATATTAAAATTACATAATACTTACCGTTTAAAAACATTAAAATATTATTCCTTTGGACTTTTATGGTAGAATTTATAACGAACGAAATGTTAAGCTCCATTTACTGGGCCGATTTAGGTATGAATGAAAACACGAAATTGAGTCTAAAACTTCGGAATTTCATTTAATGGTAAGCCCCCAGATCAGTTAACTCATCGTAATGAATTCTGCAAGAATTAAACAAGATGGTTTCCAGAGCGAACCGCGTGGAGGTCAACCTGATAGAATGTAATTCTTAGATCCATATTACCAACAATCCCTTTCCCGCCAGCCTATCTATACTGTGGATGGAAAAAGAAGAGATAGAATGGTGGATAAAGATGGGCATATTCTTCTCCATCTCAAATACTATGACAATCATAGTAACCAGGCATAACATGTTCCTATGTCTTCGAGGATGGTAACCATGGGCGAAATACCATGGGTGTTACACTATATTATTTTGTATGAACCTACTATTTACATCTATGGGTAATAATTGCCACCTTCCATCAGTTAGGCTGTTGGCCTGTGATCATATAGAATTGTACATAAAAATACTACGTCTGTGCCAAACTTCATAAAGATTATTTTAGATTTTAAAGGACCAAAAAGTAACAAATAAAGTCAAATTTATAATTAAGAAAAATTAGGTGTTATTGAGGAGAGACTTGAAAATTCAAATATATAGAAAAGACTTTAAAAAAGTCGACTTACAAGACAAAATAAATAAATTCTAAAAGCATACTCCTTTAAGAGTAACCGATAGGCGATCGCAATTCAAGTAAGCAATTAAGTGTGAGATTTGATAAAAAAAAAGCGTTCCAGTACTTTGTCCCAGTTTAATTGGGACTAATTGTAGGGACATGCGACACTAGCGCCTCGCATTCACCTGTCGCTAACACGACACGACACTTAGCGCCAAATTGCTTAGACACGGTCACGACCAATGGACAGCAGCGTCCAGTCTGCATTCGTTTTAACTCAGCTCTTCCTTTTTCCTTTTTTTTTTTATACAGTTATTCAACTAAATTGTTTCATAGCACCTAAAGGCAAAAGGCCAAAACATAGATAGCTTTTTAAAAACGTATGCTTGTAAAAAACTGAGTTATAAATCGTTTAAACTATTTTTTCGGTTAAACTCGTTTCTATTTCTAACCCACTGCCGAAGAACAGAGAGTAATGTTGTGTGTTCTACCGCTTGTATAACAGATCGTGTTCTGAGGAATCGTTTAAACTGATGCCCACAGTGAAGTTTTATCATCACCGCTCGCCTTCAACAGGGAATTCGTCCTCACACGTTTGAACCTAGATAGTCGCATACAATACGATTTCAAAGAATTCCCTTCCGCGTACGCTCAAACTATGGAACGAACTCCCTGCCGAGGTTTTTCCTAGAGACTACAGTATAGGATTCTTCAAAAAGGTTATATTAAGGTTTCTTCAGGATCGGCAATGCGCACGTGACACCCCTAGTGTTGCAGACGTCCATAAGCTACAGTGACCGTTTACAATCAGACGAGCTGTATGCTTGTTTGCCTGCCACCTTTGTGATATAAAAAAAGTATTTTGGGTTTACGTACGAAATTATATCCGGATATTAAGCCTAACGTGTAGTCTAATGGGGTATAGTTATATTCATTTTAACTATATCAATTATAAATTTAGATAGGATAGTAGTCAAAAGTATAAAATAAATACAGCAAACATCTTATAATCGACTTACAAAATTTTACAGTCGAATTTTCGCCAATTTGTCCCCATTTGATTGGGACTAATTGTAGAGACATGCAACACTAGCGCCCCGCATTCACCTGTCGCCAATACACGACACTTAATGCCAAATTGGTTAGACTTAGACAACTACTGAACTTGATAGTGACGTCCAGTTAGCTTTTATTTAACCTCTACTTTTTTTTTCTTTTTCGTGCAGCTCTTGAATGAAATTGTTTCATGTCCAATATTATAAACATAATTTCAATTTTATTAATAATTTAAATAACTTTTGTGCAATATAAATTTGGAGCAATAAAGACTAATAATAAACATATTAGTCTATATTGACAACATGTGAATAAAAAACAACAGTTGTATTTCTTGGTCGTTCTTTTCAGCTGAAATTATATTGTACATGGGCAGAAGAGTCATGAAAAGTGACTATTCAAAAATATTTATAATTAAGTTTATTTTAACGCAAAGAAATCTTATTACATATTAACAGCTTTTTAAATAACTGAGCTATGAAATATTTTATTAGGAAATAAAAGTAATTTGTGTATGTACGAATAAATAAATGAAAACTCTATTGTATCCTTCAAAGAAAGATACCGTTACATAAAAGAATGTAGGTAAATAACGTTACAAAAAGCAAGGTAAAGAGGTAACAATGTACGATATTATTGCTAATAGCGATCTCGTCAAGGTAGAGATAGGTAATATATAGTAATATCTATATATTGTAGTTACAATATCTGTTATTCAATATATAATATCGAAAAGAAGAACTCGCTCTTAATGAATACTGACTGCGACTGGTATGAGCTATATCGCAAGGGGTGGTCATCAATGTACAGAAGATGGGCGAAACAGTATACTCTGTTATGTCCATGGTACTGCTTATGTCTATAGACGACGGTTATTACTTTCCATCAGGTGGGCCGTCAGCTTGTTTGCCATTTTAAGTTGTATATATATATATATATATATATATATATATATATATATATATATATATATATATATATATATATTAGATATAACCACCCATCTGTACTTCCAGCCAATCTTACAATGGAGAGGAGTAGTATATATATATGTAATTATTATGTGCGTATACTTTCGTATATAACATCGAGCTCATCTACTCATAGTCTAACGTCCAATAGTCCATAAGTTCCATCACATACAGATAAGAGAAATATCCATCGCATCCAGCTAATCTGGGAGTTTCATCAAGGAACTGATAACAAGCTTGTGCCTTTGCTATTAACTCTTCAATATTTATATGACTCTTCATTAAAGTGACTAATGTCAGATGAAATGCACGTGGCATACGCTATTTATCAAACACATCATACCGTATAAGGCGTGCGGCGCGCCTGCGCGGATGACACTTATTTAAAGCAACATCTGATTGACTTGTAACTCGGATGTTTTTGTCCACAGCCGCTAATAAGCTCTGTTCCCGCCATTACATTGTGCCACAGATTACATAATAGTTACTATGTGCGTACAGCGTACACATACACGGTCATTTCACCTATTTGACGATTCAGTTTTTCTAAGATTATCTCTGTCAGTCGTCGACATAAATAATAAGTGCCGGACAGGATAATAACACTCGTTTTTGCAATTTTTTTTTTTCGCAAATGACAAACAAGCTGGCAGCCACCTGATGGAAACCGTTGCCTGCAGCCATGGCCAACAATTACATTACATTATACAGATTACACTATGACACCTTTCGTTCGTTGCCATTCCTAAAATTAAATTGTAGGGAATTGCACATTTTTTCGTATAGAGAAATAAACCCGTAACATTCATTATATGGTAAAAAGTTATTTAAATAGTCCCCTTATGAACCGCTAAAAATTATAAGTAGATATCTATATTTTTACATAAATAGTAAACAAGCATATAAGCCTTTATCATGGTCTATAGACACTAGTAACACAAAGAACGATGTGCTCGCTGACGGCACTGAAGAAACCATTTCACACAATTTTAAAAACTTGCGTTGGGAGCTCATTCCAATGTGCAACAGATGGTATTCAGAAATCTCCGAAATCGACTTATGTTTTTATTACTTTAAGAGTGAACTTCATACAGATGGCAGGCAATGCAAGATATTCCGAGTTCTAATTGGTTCCACAAGAGACAGGCTACTATTTTATAGTTACTTTGAATAAAGTTAAAACAAATTCTTTGCCTAGTGTGGGGTCATAGCTATATTGTACCATAGGCTAATTTTGTTAAAGAAAATAAAGATATTCTTATTCTTATCAATAGTACCTGACGCATTATACACTAATTTATTACTAGTGTATGAAAACAAGAAACCGACCGCAGAAACTGCATTTAAAACATAAAAGCACCTTGAAGAGACAACTTAATTTAAATAAGTATGTATTCCCGTGCTTAATTCGTAAGCGACTTCAATATAATATATATAAATCGCCAATAATAAAATATTCTATTAATTATAATATAGTGCGAGGATTCAGATTTATTATTACTAAAAAAGAATTTATGTGATTCGTAACTTCAAAATTCGGAAGCCCATATTGTCTATGTATCTTGAAAAGCAATCTAATTCAAAATTCAAAGAAACAAATATGCAAATATATACAGCAAACAATTTAAGGTAATAATTGCTTGTACATTTAAATCCAGCGCGATCTCACATCAGCCTAACATTGTGAGGCGGTTACCTCACCGGACAACGCTTCCCGTTGTCCATTATACGCTATTTTTAGCGGACTTTCACCGCTTAAATCTAAAGCTCGTGTCAGGAAGGGCCCTAAAAGGGGAAATATGGGAGTTGTCGGTTGTAACCTGATCTGAAGTTACGTCGGTTTCGGCGATGTTAACGTTTACGATGACTCTGTAAATCGCTACTAGTATTTA